AATGTGTTATTTAAATGTGTCATAAAAATAACATGCCTAAAGCCATAGTCCACAGAAAGATGGGAAAGGGGGGCCCAAATAAAAAACAATACCATACCTACATCATGGGTACCAGTTTTTTGTTGTCTCATTGTCCAGCATGTGGTAAAGGCTAGCATGAGACATTTTGACCACACTGTGTGGCCATCTTGTTTCCTTGGCAGATAGGTTTTTTTTTTTCTTAATGACAGCCATTTACTGGATAATTTTTTCACAGGGAACAGATTAGGAAGCTCATTTCCAAGTGACAGCCAAGTAGCAAAGCTGGTTTTAGCCACTATATCACCACTGTGCAGCCATCTTGCATCCTTGGCAGATACATCTTTTATTCTAAACAAGAGTCTTTTACTGGATAATTCTTTAAGTGAAAACAGATTAGCTGGATGGTTTCCAAATGACAGAATGATGTTTTGTTGTAAATAGTCAAATTAGAGGATACACATTGTGCCTTATTTCTGTACAAAGATCTCTGCCGAAATGAACCCTCCTCCCTTTACTGGTCCCACATGTTTCAAATCTGAGTCTCTGAGCAGTCTCCTACTATAGTTCAGAGTGAGTGTTAGCAGAATGCATTCCAGATGGACCAGCATTCTCTCTGCTATCTGTATACACGTTCTGGCAAATGTTGTGCTATCTTTATTTCCTTGGCAGGAGAGGAATACTTGGGTTTATTTAGTTGGTGAGCATTAATTGTCACCTTCAGTCTGTAGCAGACTGAGCTAAAAGCAATTTATTCCATGACTGGCAATGATGCAAAGGTTGGCTGAGGTGAGCAGAGAGGGATACGGTAAAGGGCAGAGCAGAAGATGGATTTGCTTTCTGGAAGATGAGGTTGTTCATTTGTTATATGTTTATGAATTTACTAGTTTTGTAGGTAAATGTATTGGTGGAAGGGAAAAGCAGAGGTGTTGTTCAGGGCAACAATTTAGATGATTGCTTTAATTTGCAAAACTGGTATATGGTTGCTGTAGGCAACTGCCTGATTTATCTGTCCATTTTCAATAGACCTACTATGTCCATTTTGCTCAGAGGGGTAGACTCCTTAAGCAGGACACAAATCTCGCTCCCCCAGACCAACGATCTTCAACTGCCCCACGGTAGCTTGCTGCTCAGAGGTGGGAGTCCTAACCACTTCTAAATTCTGTGTCAGAACTTACCCAGGGTTAACTTCTTCCTTCTCCTCCTCCTCACATAGTTGCTCTGGCCTGAGGACTTCATACTTGGTGGAAGACACTTGCTCTTCCATAGTAAGAAGGATTGGTGTTTACTGTAGAACCTGCTGGGGCAGGGGAGTGCAGTGAAGGTGAGTATCAGCAGGCGGGGGGTTCTTCTCACAAGGAAGCCTGTCACTTTTCTGCAATTGGGCAAAATCGTAAAATTCTGTCAAACGTAAACCTGTACAGCGTTCTGTTCTTCAATAGCTGCTCTCGTCGAAGTATGTGTTTTCTAAGTTTTACAGTTTGTCTGTCATCGGCTTGTACCTATTTAAATGAACATTGCCGTCAAATGAATTTTCTTTTGGCCTTGTTCCATCATCTTCATCAGGAGCCACACACTTATCCTCTGTGCAGCCGAGGGTTGAATTTGCCTCTAGTTTAATAGCTTGCTGAGAAAATCTAGTACACAGGTGTTAGGCATCATCTCAGCCCACTTCTGAGATCCTTTAGCTAATGGTTCCAGATGAAGACACCATTGTTTATTCATTTAAACCAACTTGACCCACAAAGAATGAGCTAAACCAGTGAAAAGCCTTTGTGTTTTTTTTTATGTCTACGTGAGGCTGGAATGCTTCTAGAAGGAGAGGCTCTGTGGCTGGAGAGGAATTAAAAAGTTACAGGGAGATCTTGTTATATCCAGTCCTTAGTAACCCAGCATAATTCAGACCTATTGACAGTATTTGATGAGAATGTGTAGCAGGGAGACATGTGCCTTGCTAGTTACCGAGGGGCGATAAATATCCAGCCAACAGTTGGGACTTGGCAATTCTCATCTGGCAAGGCTGCAGGGCCACAGTTTGATGATGCCAAATATAAGCCTTTCTTGTCAAGATAAAATGTCGGTAGGTAATTTTTTTATTTTCTTTTTCCTTTTGTGAATAATAATTTGTTTCCCTGTGTAATCAGTATTTCATGTCATGGAGGGGCTATAGTTAATAACAAAGCCTCCATGGGATGAGGCAGGAGGGCACAGTGCTACTGAGTTTGAGTTTTGCAGGTAGAAACTTGCTGGTTGAGCCCTCTTGGGGCTTCATTGGATGTATTTGGCGTTCGCCTCTGTAATTTATGTAGACCTCTGAAGCCATTCCTGTGGTGCCTTTCCTGGTCCTTTTTTCCAACTTGTTATGGACTTTTGTTTGTTAGTGGGGCTGGTCATCCAGCATAGTGCTGGAGGGACAATATTTAAAGGGTCATTACTTGTTTATTCTGTTTTGATTATCCAGAGCTTTTTAGGCAAGGCTATTTATTATTTCAGCATATAAGAATGATATGGTTTGCTACATTATATTAGAATATAATAAACACGCAGGCCAGTTGGTGCCAACAATTATTGTGTGTCTTTATTTTGTCTTTATTTGTGTCGTTTATTTATATAGTCTTATGTGTTTTTATTTCCAGTATGCCTGCCATTTCACATCCAATGCATATGAGGGGAATTGAACCTGGGCATTCGGGTCCACTGGCAATTCTCCAGCTCCTAATAGTACAGATAGAATATAAGTATAAACTAATTTGTAAGGGAAAGCATCCTGACCACCATTCTGTGACACCCTAAACTATGCATTTAAACAAAGCATTCACTTTATTTGTATTTTTTTTTTCATTTTGTTAAATTAAACTTTCTAATAAGTGGGTGAACTTGTAATGCAGTCATGTGCCTAAAGGCAGAAGTGTAACCATGAGAGGGCAGCAGCTTAGGGTGCAGGAAGGACAGGGAGTCACAATAGCTTGGCAGTAGATTGCTTTGACTACATTGTTATTTCAATCCAAAAGAAGGTTTTGCATAAGATGAAATATAAATTAATTTAGCTATAGTTTTCTCTGAGTCCTTTCAAGCCTTTATTCCTTTCTTCTATGCCCAGAGGAAGGGGGAGTTTTGCTGCCTCCAAAAACCAGTGACTATTTTTATGTGACATTATTACGAACAATTAAAGGCACTTTGCACTATTTGGTGCTCATGTGTATGTCTATAGCTCAAGTTGCTTTCAGGTACCCATTGAGGGAGGCCTGTGTGTTTGAAAGCTATCTTACCAGATCCAGTGAGCTTCTTTTGAAGGTTTCAGTACAGTTTATAATATTGGAAAAAGCACTGAAGTCCCAGCGCCCCTTAAATGTATTTTCGAGGACTTTATTGCCAACTGCTGGATGATTGAGATGATTTTCACCCTCCTCCTGAGCCTTTAAACTGCCTAAATTTTTTCAAATTTAGACAGTGTGTTGTAAAGTAGTCACCGCTCCAAGCTTGCTCCCGTGATGGACTATAACTTCAATACAAATGAGTAATCTAAATGTGAGATTGTAGCCCATCACGGGAGTGAGCTTGGAGCTGTGACAACTTTACAACACACACAGGGACCATGGGGAACAAAAGTAGCCACCCTCCAGAAGAAGAACAGTGTCAGCACCAATTCAGAGATGATTTGAGGATCTACAGCCAAATGATACACACATAAGTTACATTTTTGATAATACAGTAAACCCTCAGTTATCCGTTATTCAACTAACATGAACTCTCATCTAACCAGAAAACAAAATCCCCTGTGTACTCTCTGTTTTGCTGATGTATTATCCTGGAAACGATCATGTGTCTATTTGTCTTAATTTGCTCTTGATTACTGCATTTCAATATTAATACGAAGTCAATACAGAGTTTGTGTTATGATATGCTATAGTATGGGGTATGACATTAGTTAGACCTATTTTTAATAGTAACTCTCAAGCAACCAGAAACTACATTTATGCGGACTCTACCAATCCCATTGGATGCCGTATAACGGGGAGTTTACTGTAGTTAAGGTACTTGAATGCATTTTTAAAATTTAACTCCTGAGTATAGGGATGGGTAATAGAGTATAGGGATGGGAGGGTAATAGACACGGACTTAGACATTATAACATTACAGGAGGACCTGGATAAAATAGGGGATGTGCGCCTTCCACTCGTTCTCTCCTTCCCCACCATCCATGTTCACAATGAACCTCTTCTAGCACTAATAACACGTCTGGATCGTACGTTGTCACACAGGAACTGCAGACTGTGAATTACACCAGCTTGCAATATTTACAGTAATTGGAATACACCTGTAATCTTTTTCTTTTTAAGCTGCAGCATCAAATGGACTATTTGTGCATTTTCCCCCCTAATGAACAAGTATAAACAATCCGCTGCTGAGTAAACAAAGAAAAAGCTTTTTACTATGTGACATATGGTATTTATCTATTGTTGCTTTGGAATAAAACAAGAGAAAATAGGGTGGGAAATAGGGCCAGGAGACTCGCAGCGTTACACAGGCTCCGTGTGTCTCTCAGTATCACAACAAAAGGCAGCCGAGAGGGCAGCAGGTGCTGCTTACAAGGGAAGCCTGGGAGGAAGCCGAACGCTGCCAATAGCTCACCTGTAGAACACAGCATCAGGTTTGGGTTTGTCAGAGCTGTCATATGGGGATTCATTACCATCCTGCCTTTTCATTCCTTTCTTTCACATCCATACTTCCATTAAAGCTTTTGAATTCAGCTGCTGCTATTGCTTCCTCTTAGAAGCATCTGTACAGGCTGAATTTAAAAACCCTAAAAGATTACAGGATGGGGGTTTTTCATATCAAGTCCGTCTGGGGTGTTTTCACTTAATCACAATAAATACATTGCAATTGGAATAATGCTGATGGCTGGGGATTTCATTTTTTTATGAGTTAGAGAAATATTTTGCACAGTGAGAATGATATGTCTCGTTTGTGTTTCCTTGCAGATCGTACTGAGAAGCGTTGCACAATGCCAGACTCACCTGTGGATGTAAAGACGCAATCCAGGTTGACACCTCCAACAATGCCCCCTCCCCCAACTACACAGGGAGCCCCAAGAACAAGCTCATTCACACCCACAACATGTGAGTAATCCTTTAATTCCAAAAAACTCACTGTTTATAATGATTATAGGTTAACGTCTACTTGCCATACACCTGGGCAATTCACACTGAGTTTATGATGGGAAAAATGCATAAGCTGAGGCCCTCAGAATGACAACTAGTTCCAGAGATATGTGTAGCTGCATTAAGAAGAAAATCGCAACCTTGGTGTTTTAAAGTTTAGCCTGTCCACTTCCTTTATCATTTAAGTCCTTCCTATTGGTTGATGTGTCTGCCTCCCGCATTAAAGGACCAAGAGGGTCAAGCTTGCCTTTAAAAGCAAAAATTAAAAATTGCATATTATTTCAGTTGCCACCTGACCATTATGATGAAAAATTCATAATATGAGGTTACTATCAGTGAAAACCATATGTCAAAATGATAACTAAATCTGGAATTTCAGATTAAATATATAACAGGCGGAGTGCATTTGGTATCACTACGCATGTAACAGGAGCCGGCGCTATAGAGGAGGCATCGGTTTACTCGGCTTTGCTCCCTCCAGTGCCGCCTCGCTTCCTCTAGTGCTGGCTTTGTTGGCACCGCTGATTCTCTCCTGCCTCTCCCGCGGCTCTTCAATTTCCCCCTTATGCCACCACCGGCCCTGGGAATGGTCACGACTAGGTCTTATTTTCGGGGTAGGTCTTATATTTTAGCAATTCCCAAAAATAGAACTAGGTCTTATTTTCGGGGTAGGTCTTATTTTCAGGGAAACAGGGTATAAACAGCTGAAATTGAATGCAGATTTTTATCTTTTTTTCCTTAATAGGTCAGGCTTGCACATTTTGACTTTTTGTATATTACTTTTCAGGCCTATTCACACTGGATCTGTTGCTTTGCCATACGTTTTCGAACAGATGCTAACAGAAGGGCACCGAAAAATGAATGGGTGTGAATGGGGCTAGTTTACTCCACTCCATTCAGTTGTGTTCCAATATGTTGTGCTAATAAAAAAAAATAGAACATGCACTACTTTTTTTTTCAGTGCAACATAATGCACCTTGAATTGCACATGTTTATTTGTAAGGTAACGCGTAGTATACGTTCAGTGAGAACTCAAGCTTTCATTATGAAATGAATATAAAAGTAATGCTTTATCTTAATTTGTACTTGCTGCCCCATATTTTTATGATTGTATGTCATATAGAGATATGTAGATTTACATCCGGAGACAATCTGTAAATGTTGAAATACATTTAGCATCTTTGCTAAGTGACTGATGCTAGAAGATAAACCATATATAGAGTGTATTTATTTTAGTGAGTCATAACAGACTGGTAGACTTGCATTAAAGAAGTCCAGTTGCCATTGAGTAAATGTTATATTTACATAGAGAATATAATTTGTTATATTTTGAAGAACTATCAAGTCACCCTGCTGTCTGTCTGTATTATGTAGTAAAAAATGTGACCTACCTCCCAGCACGATGTTTATAGTCAATGGACATGCCCCCAGTTATATATAGGCAATGGACACACCCCTGCCATGCCCACAGTTTTATATATGCAATGGGCACACCCTTGACATATCCCCAGTTTTATATAGGTAATTGATACACCTCTGCCATGCCCCCAGTTATGTATAGGCAATAAACACACCCCTGTAATGCCTCCATTTATCTATAAGCAATCAACACACCCCTAACATGCCCCCAGTTATATATAGGCAATGGACACACCTATGCCATACCTCAAGTTATATATAGGTAATGGAAACACCCCTGTCACATTCCCAATTACAGTATATATAGGCAATTGACACACCCCTTCCATGTCCCCAGTTATACTCACCATTAAGAGTTAATATGACAAAAATGATTGGTTAAACCCATAATTGTTTTTTTTTCACCATTAGTATTCCTTTATATTGGCTTTTATATAGTAGATAAGATGACGATTTTAGCTCAGAATAACACTTGGTTGTTAAATAGTAAATTTTCATAGATATCTGTACATCAGACCAAAAAGAGGGACAACTGAGGAGGAAAAAGGGAAAGAAGCGTTAGGTCCAAATGAGGGACAGTTGGAGGGGTATAGTGTCACTCTTTCCAAGTGTTGGGTTCTCGTCACACACTTAAGTGTATGCTCCCACATTCCTGTTGGTCAACCAGTATGCAGGGCTGATTTATTTCCATTATGATGCAGTAAGGGGTATGTGCAGGTACCTCTTTTCCCTGTACATGGTCAGATTTATCACCAGAAAATGGCCATTCTTGCCTTATCACATACCTCACACAGCTGTTGCAGGCAAGATTCCTAGCTGGCCCACCGCTTGAAAAAAACAGTATATAGCCAATGATTGAAGCACCATTTTTTCCAGCTCATATTGACTTATGCACTATATACAATTTCATACTTTTGATTCTGACAACCTGCACATATCTGGCAGGATACCTAAAGACTTAATTTTCAAAAGTACCCTTCCTCATGATCCATTGTCATTTTTCACGTAATGGCTTAAAAAATTAGGACATAGTATTTTCTACTGAAAGGCATACACAGAATAGCAACCATTGTTTTCTATAGCAGGCAACTGCCCAGGTCTGCAGAAACAGCTTAGCTCTGTTTAGCTGTGAGCCTGTCTCTGCTATATGAATGACATCATCATAAAAATTGTAGAACTAGAGGACGGTAACTACCCCAACAATTTGGCATCACCGCCTCTTTGGTCTGTAAACATGATTGCTATATTTAGAATAAATTGTGCAAATGGTTTGCTGTGAATAAATAGATGTTTTATAAAGATACTTTGATAGGACATTCAGGAGTATGTATCCTGCTGGTTTAATGCCACTGAAATGGCCAATCAAACCTCATGAATTGGAAAATGATGAATTGTATGCTGTGACATTCAGCTATTCTTCCCAGCAAAAGGATACACTATAAGACATTGTTAGAGACTTGACGTTGTCTAGGAAAAGATACAGACGTATTACAGAGCTGTTACCTATACAATATAGAACTTAGATTTGCTGACTAAAGATAAATAAAGGGATAAAGATAAAAGCAAGTTATATACTGTATATTAGCCTAATAAGTCAATCAAAATTAAAAGTGTTAATGTAGGTATTGAAAATATATGAAATATTGAGTTTCTTATATTTTTAAGGGTTTTTTTGTATTCTCAAATCCATATGCTGCCCCAATGGTAATGCCATGTAACCCATCTGTGCAGCAGAAGTGTGGCTGCAGTATCTACATATTAGGGGTCTCTGAGCTTTTGGGCTGCAATATGCCATTACTTGGAGATAGGGGGTCAACACCAGCCATTTAATTCTCACCCACAACATCGGAGTTATGCCAGTAGATGTAGCCCTGGCAACAACATGCTACAAATTCAGTATTCAATGAACAAGCAGGTAACCAAGGATGCTGCAAAGGTGAATCTGGGAATACTGGTTACACCTGGCTAATTATGCAGTGTGTCATACACATGTGAATTACAAGAGCAGAATGTCAAACCATTTGGCACAAAAGACAGTTCAGATTTTGGTGACTTTGATGTGCAGGGACTGTTGAACTGTTGTTGGAATAAAGGTGAACGAATGGGACCCAAGGTCAAGGGGTTCATTTGATGAATGTGTGACAGGTCTGTTATTAGGACCTGGGTTGCACAACACCTGTTGTAACAGATTAGTGTACTAGCTCTCTAACAGTGCTTAGTGGGTGGGAAGCCCCTCAAACAAAGAGTTAGAACAGCAACATACCAAAGAGCTACCATCACCCAGAAGACAATTTAGGAGCCAGTGTAGCCTTTTGTTTACAAGAGTTTTGAAAGCTTTAAAGAAGGCACTGATCTCTCGAAACACATTGGTTGGTCAGATTTATGGTTGTTAGCTTTGTATTTAGCTCTTTGCCAGGAATTATCTTTAAAGTGACACTAAACTCAGGAGTTAAACCTTGAATTAAACCTTTAATTCAAGTATCTTAACTATTAACAATATTGTACCTTATTTGTGCATCACTCTGCACTCACTTCAGCTGTAGAACCTCACATCATCTCTGTATTCATGCAGACACTGTCCTACCTTCTGGAGTGTGTACACTCCCCTGTGTGTGTTGTAAAGTAGCCATCACCTTGAGCTCCAATTCTGTATCAATATAATTATTTTCCACAATATGAATTCACTGAAAATACATTGAGTGGAATTTACTAAGACTGGAGCAGACAGGATCTCAACCAATCAGCTTCTATCTTTCATTTTCAAAACATAGCTGAACAAGCTGAAGAAAGAAGCTGATTGGTTACTATACACAGCTGCTCCATATTCTGACTGCTCCAGTTTTAGTAAATTCTCCCCATTATGTTTTCTCTGTAGCCCTGTCCCCTCTTGTCTTCTGCATCTTTTGTTTTGTTATGTACAGTATATCTTTGTAGTTTGTAATGCCTAATTCTGTATTTGCAAATCAGGGTCAAATGCTTTAAAAAGAAGATAAACGGCCAAAAGAGATTTGTTATAGTTGTTAGATTGAGAATTTTAATATGCATTGATTTTATAATGATATAGTACGGTTTATCAGAAATGACAATACTATGTTCTGCTTTATTCATCAGTAACAAATGGCACAAGTCATTCACCAACAGCACTGAATGGAGCTCCGTCCCCTCCTAATGGCTTTAGTAATGGACCTTCATCCTCCTCCTCTTCTTCGCTGGCGAATCAGCAGTTGCCTCCAGCATGTGGTGCACGGCAGCTCAGTAAATTGAAGAGATTCCTTACCACATTACAGCAGTTTGGCAATGACATTTCACCAGAAATTGGGGAAAGAGTCCGCACACTTGTCCTGGGATTAGTGGTAAGGAGACTGGCTCTGTCATAACTATTTACATCTTGCATGTAAATGTTGCTTTTAATGCCTAGAAGTGAATAGGTAATGGATAGACTTCAGACCATGGTGTTCACTATTAAATTGAACAGTATAATTACATTTAAGTCATTTTATGTAATCTCTGAGAAGCTCAGACATGAATCCAGGCTTGGAAATCTTCCAAATGGGGCAGTAAGAAGACATTTACTTTAAACTGTTGTGTGACAGATTGGGTCGATGCCAATCTAATTTTCCAGTAATTGTTCTGTGTATGGAGAGATATCAGCTTTGGATTCTGCTCGGTCACTGACCAGTAATGAATGGCCAAGGTGGGAGATTTATGTTGTGTTATGCATTCTGGTTTTGTAATTCCCTTGTTTTGGTGGCTGAACAATTGCAATACTCAATTTGAGTATGAAACTGCCACATCTTATAGTCTGGTTGAATGATCAGTTTTGTTACTGTGGTCAGACCACACACACACACGCATGTGATTAGGTCTATAAAAACAACACGTCCAAATAATGGCAAATGAAGACTAACAAGCACTCATGTGCTTGGGTACTTTCCTCAAATGAAAAGGGAAAGATGTTCCAGCTGATGGTCAGACTGTAGGGGTGGTTGGCTTCTGCCCACAATTACATTTTCCACTTACTAGGACTGATAACACTAGATCATGGTATTTATTACAGATTGATAGAAGTTTAAACCTTATGTTTTTATTGAATACCCATATGGTTGAACAGGACTTCAGTACAGTGAAGCAAATATCATTAGTTTAGTGTCTATCCCCTATTCTACATTAGTATTTATGTTTTATATTAGGATCGTCATGTCTGTGTTGTTCATTGTCCTATAGTATTAACATGTTTTTTCACCTAGGACACTTAAAGGGATCATACTGAACACATAAAAATGTCTCTGTAGGGTCAAAGAAGGCCCATTCTAAATATGTCCAGGCCAATTGACCTTTGGTGCACAGTTCAAGTATGGATGGGCAGATCTATTGCCGCCAGTCTTTGCCGGTGAGATATTTGTTAGGGTATAACCTTCCTTAGACCTGTGGTAGTTATCCACTGATAAAGTTTGCTAACATCTTTTGCCAGACATCACAGTATATTTGTAGGACACATATTATAATTATTATTATACAGGATTTATATAGCGCCAACAGTTTGCGCAGCGCTTTACAAAATATTATAAGGCCATTTGAGGCCACTAGTATTCAGCCATTAGTGGCTAGCAATAGAAAAAGTGTCAGATCAACTGCTAAAAGTTCCAACATTTAGAAATGTCTTTTCATTTTTTGTTGTAGTATTCATGTTTAATATAGACAATGTTCTATAGCAGTCAGGAGCCAGCCACTTTGTTCTAGGGACCAATGAGAGGTCAGAATCAAATGTTTCCCTTGATAATAAAAGAAGAAGTTAATAAAATGAAAGCGCCAGCATTAGTATACTGTGCATCTTGGCCACCTGGCTTTCTGGGTTTGTTCATTGTTGATTCAAATGTTTAATTAATTTACAGGTCCAACTCCCAGATACGCCATCCCCATTACAATACACGAAGAAAATGGGTGGAACTGCTACACCATCAATGGACTGTTTAAATGGAAACAAGAGAAACTGTTAGTTTACAGACATTTTCTTTCATGGTCACGAACTTGCTTCCGTGAAATCCTTGAAACATAAAATGGAATACAACATTTTCCATTTTTAATTAAAAAATAACTATAATAGAATTAATAGATGACATTGATTAATAGATGAAAAGCTTATTCTATTCACAGTTCCATGTTGTAGAGGAAGGAGACACCCATATACCATATTGCTGGAATATGTTGTTTAATTTCTGGCTGTATTGTGTTATTCTGTTCTGCATTGTGTCCAAGATACATTTGTGTTTATGAATAGTGGAATGATGTGCTGACAGATTTATGTGCTATAAATCTTCTTTCATCAGATGACATGCAAAAGGGTATGCAAAAAAAAAGAGAATTAAGAGGCGATAAGTAGTAAGATAACTGCAATTGAATTACCTTTTTCAGCGTTTGATATTTTTTTGTATTCTCAATGGAAGAAGACATATGTAACAACTGAAGAGAATGTTAGCATGTACACATTTAAAGTGCACTTACTTTTTCTCTTCAAGCAGAAATACAAACACATACAAAGTAATGGTGCTGCAAAGTACAGATACCTTATGAATTGACTTGCCTTATCTTACAGCTAATGCCAGGTCTGGTCACTTAGAGGACATGTTCACTTACAAGGGAGTTAAAAGAAAACCAAATTTGCATTACTGTTGTCACTCCCAGTGACATCACAGTAAATGGTGCTGATGACTCGGTGACAAATTCTAGACAGGGCCAGATTTTCCATAAGACTCAGTAGGCTTGTGCCTGTACCGACAGAAGCTTAGTGGTGTCTTTGCTTTGCATAGATATCTGCCCCACATTTTTTCTCATCATCCCTATTAATACAGTCATGTTGAATAAGCTTATTTACACATGATTCTAATATTCTAAGCCTGGTTAGGTAAAAAGAAAAATTGTTTTAGGTAACAGAAATGATCCTAGTAGAGACACAATGCTATGGGCGCTAAATGTTGTGTACCTAGATGGTCCATTAATGGAAATTTGACCCTGCTCACTGTAAGGGCTTATCAAATTACCCAACTACTTGATGTTTGTTGCTTTTTACAGAATCTGCAAAATGTTCAGCTAATATGCATACAAATACAGTCATTCTTTAAATTATATAGTGTTTTGTATGGCTTGTGTTCTGTCACAGACATTTGGCTGTGCCATTTATGACGTGTAGCAGGGCACGTAATCCTATAGCCTAGTCTGGGCTTAGTTATGTGAGACCCTGGGGTAGTCAGCCTAGATTTTGGCAAATTATACATTTTAAATAAAAAAACAGGTGTTTTGAGTCCCCTCTGATCCCGCTATACTTTCCGCAGTCTGACACTTGGAGGAGCAAAATGTGCTATAGTTAAACTTCATCACTTGGGAGTCATATCTTCAAGTGTGTTCTCCCAGATTAGGGGCAATATATGTTGAGTATATAAAAAAAAAATTATAAGAATTGGCATACTGCTGGACGCATGAAGCCTGATCTTAAGTATTAATGGTCACAAATCTAGTGTTGCTTGCAATGATTGGTTGAGGCTTAGGCCATGTATGACTTGCCTAGTAGATAACATCAAGTGCCTCAGAGCATGAAAACTTTATCATTGACTATCTCTCCCTACACAGAGTTGTAAACTCTCCTAAACAGTTACAGCACAGTATAACATGGCTAGAAGGAGTGCTGGGTTACTTATTAGTTCCGAATATTTGCTCTTGTGACTCAGATGACCAGGAGCAAAGACTGTGCACTGCATAATAGGTTGTTGCTTACTTCTGATGGCAAAAGTTTTCTATTTGCAAATTTAGCGAATCCTGGGGACTCACTGTGAACACATGGTAGCAGCAAACTTGAACCTCATAACAACTTGGCAGATTTTGTAGCTGGTTGGATTATCTTTTTTTTATTTTAATATTAAACTTTATTTTTATTTTCTGTGGAGAATTTCCAGAAAGCATTTGGAACCTTGTATACCGCTAAAATCTTAAAATCTATTTATTGGAGTCATAGAGAAATTCCTTGCAGGTCCCTATAAAGTGCAGATGTATCACCACTGATTGTTCTTGGAGACATCCACCAGTCAGTAGTCAGCCTAGGCTAACCTCTATTAGCTATAATCAAGCCCTGTCCCAATGTGATGATGCTTACCCAAACATTTACTAAGCTCTATCTTTTCTATGGTCAGATAATGGGAGCACGTAGGTGCTATAGACAGACCAGCTAATATACTGATATTGTCTTGAAAATTGTGCAATGTTGTGTATTTCAAATGGCTAAAATGTAAATTATAGTAGGTTGCTGTGAGTTAGACCTCACTCAGATCTGTAGGTTTTAGGTGTGTGTATTCACTATGCCCTGCCATCTAGAGGACTAATTCTATCTTAAGGAATAATGCTTACTTGTACATGAATATTTGTGCAGCTTCAAAAACATGTCTTTACAATATTTGTGCATAGCTCCCAATGTGTCAGGGCATTTAAAAGGTATACGAACCTTGACAATGAACTTCTTGTATTTGCTCTCTCTTGGTCTGTTAAATATTTTAAGCTTTTAGTTCTCCATTCAATAGGAGAACAAAGTACATATTGATCTCACCAAAAACCTATGTACCTAAGCTGCACTAATGTCTCAGACTCTGCTATCGGCCCTGCCCAGTTCACTTCTGTGGGCTACAGAACACCTTTTCCTTAAGTTATGGAGATGAGGAGAGGGGGAGGTGTTCTGTTACCTAAATAAGGAGCGAGCAGCTTAGAGTGACCACGCTGCTCCTCCATAGTACACTGAGCGAGCATTGTTGTCAAGCTAGGGCAGGATGTGTGTTACTGGGAAGATCAGCAGGAAAAAAAAAGAATAAATGCCTAAAAGAAGAACACTAGTACAGCCATCACATCTAAAGTGTGGTTAGCTGCAGTATATTACATTGTGGTCTTGTGTTTATATATACTTCATGCCAAGCCCTAGGCCGGCTTAAATTGTGCTGAAATATTTTCCATATTTAGACTTAACAGACCCTTCTGCATTAAAGCCATAAAAATGTCTACTTCATTCACCCATTTAAGACTTATGAGTGTCTCTCTTGTAATCTCTTTGTACTAGTAACCTTTTGAATATGGTGGCATTCCATTAAACTGCATTTTTCATTCTTTTCCCTTTTTTTCCACTACCCAACAGAATTCTACACTGACAATTGAAGAATTTCATTCCAAACTGCAAGAAGCGACCAACTTTCCACTGCGACCCTTTGTCATCCCATTTTTGAAGGTATTGCACAGTTCATTGATCTGGAAAGGATTTCAAACCTTATTGTTGCTAGGTCACAAATGTGTGTTTTACTGTTTTGCTTTTTAAGAGAGAAAATGGAAAATAAATCTGAGGTGTAAGCACTGCACAGTGACGGAAGTGCTTATCTAGGTGACTTTCTGCCCTTTCACTTTTCTTTGTGTTATTTACGGTTATGGGGCGTAAAAGGGACATGATTGAATAATTTAGGAGGTTTTAGCCTTCTATTGAAAATCTATGGTAGAAAAGCTGGACTTTATAGAAGGGATGATAATAGCTACATTTATCATAGTTATGGTTTTAATGTTTACTCTTAATTCTGACAATTAAAGGGGGTGCCCATAAAAAATGACCCCACTTAAGGAATGGAAATCTTCATGCAGTGGCAAGACTTAGTCTTTGCCCATGACTGTATTTCACTGAAAGGACTGAACTCAAAATAAATGTAAATAAACTATTGCACCTTCTTACCGCGGTATTTACTAAATGGTGCACATGGCACCACTGCATATCTCTACATGGAGAGTTTAGAATCATATTGAAATCCTTATTGATTTTAGGTAGATATATTGATGAAAGGAACTAATGGTAGCACACAGGCTTAGTGGTTAGCACTTCTGCCTTTGCCCACTAGGGTTCTTGGATTGAATCCCAACCAGGACCCTATCTGAATGGAGTTTAGCATGTTCGCTCTGGGCTTGAGTTCCTCCAGGTACTCCAGTTTCCCCCCACACTCCAAAGGTGTCCTGGTAGGTTAAATGGCTCCTGTCTAAATTGTCTCTAGTATGTGTATGTATGTGTGTGAGATAGGGACCTTAGATTGTAAGCTCCTCATGAGCAAGGAGTGATGTGATTGTGCAATACATAAAGTGATGCATAAATTGTCAGTGCTGTGTAAATACCTGTAGTAATAATAATATACTGTACAGTATGACTTCATTTTTATAGAAACAACACAACAATTATTGTTTACCTGAGAATTTTATTAGCTGTTGATCCTGCCAGTAGATCAGTTGATTTTCAGCAGGGTGACAACATAGTTCATGCTGCGATGAAACCAGGACAACTTTGTTACTCTCTGGATATGTAGTTTTAGATGGACTTTAGGCTACTAAGAAATTAAAACTCAACCACAGCTAGCACTTTTGAATAGTCACAGCAATAGCAACATATTTTTTGTTTTGGAAACAATATATTAATAAAATATGCCTGTTGTTTATTGTTTGACCATAGGGGTCTAAGCACCATCTTCCAGTGTTAGGGCCCATGAACTTCTATTGGAGTGCTCACTCTTGAGAGAATATTCATAATCCAAGGGAGAAGCGATGCACCAAGGTCCTAAGCAGTTGCTCTTTGTTAGAAAGTAGCCAGTTAACAGAGGGCAAAGTCAATCGAAATGCTGTTGTCCCAGAGGCCACTCACAGTAGTGTTAAGGTCCACTCCCGGGAGACCAGATGAGAGGCCATGCCACACACAGGGCTCCCCTCCACAGGTGGTGCCAGCTGGTTCTGCAGCCTTTTCCCTTTCTGGAGTGCTTAGTCCTCAGAGGAGTACAGCAGCTCATTTCTCCCTGATTCTCACAGCTCGATAAGCAACTCAGTCCTCTCTTAGATGGGGTCAGCGATCTTAGTAATTGCAGCTATGCTTTGCTCACGCAGCAGCTCTCTTCTTTCAGGGTAACTGCTCAACATGGCACAGTTCAGTCCTGGTACTAAGAACATTCCTCTGTCCAGTCACTCTGCCTGGCACAGCAGCTAACACCACAGTCCTCATGGCTCTCTTCTCTGCACCACAGCATGACTCTGCAACACAACATATCACAGTATTGCAGTTTATGGTTCACTGCTTTCCTGCCATGTATAGCAGCACAGCCTCTTCTCTGCCCAGCTCACCACCCAGTCCACCCTGCACACTGGTCTCTCAGTAGCCTTGCTAAGCAATGGCTCTCCTTCCCCAATTCAGGCGCTTCTAGCTGGGGCTAAATTGCCGGATTCTGGCTGAAGGTAATAATAATCCCAGTTACTTTATTAAAGGACAGCTTAATTAAAGGTTTAGAGTAACATACTGTTCAACAAACTCAAGAGAATGGCAACATTATTTGGGCTTCCATTAGTTCCGGTAGGAGCAGAGATGCCTCAAAAGGTAGAAATTCTGGAGGCCTGAAAAACATGAACCGTTAAAACTAGATATAGAAAACAGAGATTTCATGAACCAGAGTGTACATTTTATCAAATGAAAAGCTTCTGCTTAATTATGTTATTTAGTTGTAATGTTCAACAAAAACGTAATTAGCAAACTGTTTTCATAACTCTTATGTGTCTTAAACCCGAGTTAGGAGTCTCTGAGACTTAGCTGTGTTCTCGGGCTCTGTGCGTATTTCATCATACTACAGAAAAGCAGCAGTACATATGTATAGCACATTACTTTCTAATCTTATGCTAATAGAACTCACACAAAAACACTCTTCTGCCAAGCCGAATTACACAAAATGGCAGACACGCAGGCACTAAAATGTTTCACTAAAGAAATGTCAAAAAGTGTCTCATTGAGTGGGATCTTTACATAAGTGTAGCCACTTTTTAGAAAGGTAACTTCATTATGGCAATACTAGCTATAGCTACCGGTATATAGCAGCTATATGTCAGTATAAGTAAAGAAAGCCTTGCAACGCAGATGTGTTTCTAGGCTACATATCAGACTATCTAAGATGTGTCAATTTATGACAGGGCTTTATCAGAAGTCTTTTGAAGACTAAGCTGGTAAAGGTGTATGATGCCCTGCATCCCTTTAATTACATTGCAGTAGGCTTTTCTTGTCAAATGTGCTGTCTCCCTTGACTGCTTAGTAAAGAAATGAGATTTGAAGCTGCCCGTATTTCTTACCGACTTGTGAACTTTAGGAAAATAAGGGTGGCACTGTGTTTACTACCATTCCCCTCATTCTCTCTACACAGTTTGTGGTACAAGCATTTGTGTTTTTGTTTTCTATTTAATGCACAGCTATCCTAAACACTCAAGGGTTTTACACAAACAGGAATGTTGGCACACTCATTTGCTTAGTGCACAGTCCCTTATCCAAAATATTGCTATGGTTCTCTAACAGAGCTTTCTTCAGGTTGTGAATATATGTTTTACCATTGAAGGGCTTCCTCTATGCTCACTGTAATGGGTGTGTGTAGGACAAAAGACAATTCAAATTCATAGGAGCATACCTGAATATAGGGTTCGGTCTGAAATGTACTCACTGCCCTCCTGTGTAGTCATAAGAAAACTGCATTGATCCCTAAAGGGGTTATATAAATGGCAGAGCTTCTTTGCATGAATAGGCCTTTTTATCCCACCGTTTCACACTTTTTATTGTAGCTCCATGTAATGGTGCTCAAACTGTCTATCCCCGGAAAATCACAGACCAATAGCAGTTTTGCCCCTGCTCATTGTCACATCACGCCGCTCATCCTAACCATTCAAGCGGAGCCTCATTGGCATCACTTGAGACAAAAGCAAGACCAATGGCTCATTTCCATTCCAGAACCCCTGAATTGCTAGGATGACCAGTAGTGAAAATGAGGGTCCTCCTCTATCTTGCACCTGGCCCAACCAAGTGCTTGCAGGTGACATAGCTTACTTATATGAGTCCCTGTGTAGCAGTACAGATAGTAAATGCAACTGTAGTCCTTAAACTTCTAATTAAGCAGAAATTTGTTTTTGAGCATCTCAGTTTGAATGTACAAATGACAGCTCAACATTACAAGGGATAATGCAGCTAGAGGGACTTAGAGGAAGTAGTAAAATGCACTACATATTTTTACAGTTGGAGTACATGCAGTAATCATCAAAGCAAAGTTTAATGAGCAAAGGTAAATTTAATGAGGCACAGATAACAAAATCTCCATTACCCTATTCTTTTTTAGGATATTACATTTTGTCATCATGGGGTGCTTACCTGAAATGATTTGTTTCCCATAAACACATGGGTTATCACAAGACATGCTCATGATTTGTCCAGTTCTTGAGAGGGTATCACGTATGGATTGTCACAGGCAGGTCTCTCACCAGGAGTGATGGTTGCCAAGGCCTGACTCCCTTGAATTGCTGCATTTCAAAGCCATTGTTAACGGGCTATAGTGAATAGCCCGTACAGCAGCCCTTCGATTCAACTGAACCGAAGGGGTCCTGGGGCCGAAGCTAGCCGAAGGATCAGCCGAAGCTACGGCTAGATCCTTCAGCAGCTTCGTGAATAGACCCGTAAGACATGCTTGCCATGTCCCAACTGGCACAGTCAACACTTGAATCTGGGGCATCAGTTGCCTTTACGTGGCCCCAATATGGCCACCCTCATACAGTAGGAACGTTTTTAAAATGAAAACGGGAATCTATTTGGTTGCTATGGGTGACCCATTTTTTTCTTATTTTCCAGTTTTCTGGGAACACTCTTGTTTTTCCACTTCACGGCATATTTTAAATATTAAACAGGAATGTTTATAAAAACACTCATCATGCTTGCTTCATAAAAGGATGCTTTCTGTATGAATTTCATCATGTTAACATCATTTCCTCTGTGAATACGAATGGTTTCTATGTTTTGTAAAAAAAAAAAAAAATGCTTCTCTTCAGGGTCAAATTGGCTGCCACAAAAATAAAAAAAAAAAAGAAAAAAGCTTACAAGGACACTTCCACATTCTTCCATCGGAGCTGTGCGCCATATGGTCGCCATATCATTTACTTTGGATCACTGGAATCAAAGATGCAACTTTTTTTTTTCTAATTTTAGTGCTTTTCCTCAAAGGAGACATTAATGACAAAAACCATATGGTTGTGGGAACACGGGGCCTTAATAAGTGCATTCAAACGCAGCTGTAACAATATGCATTAAAATCTTGTTTTCATTAAGCTAATGCAACCCGCAGACCCGCGATTCCATTCTACGTTTATGGAGAAACATTTACTGGAAGGATATTAGACACCATCCTAATTACCTAATCTGGCACCAGAACTAGAACAAACAAAATTGCTTTGTATTACCATTTTTTTTTAAATTGAAAGAAGATGTTTATAGAAATGCTGAATAAAAAAAAAAAAGGAAGGAAGGCTTTAACCGTGTCATACTTACTTTTTACATTTGTCAATAGCAGCATTTCTGTTTTTTATTAGTGCTAAATCTGGAAGGCATTGCTGCATTTTAAAACAACCCCAATTAATTTTTTTGCTTCAATTGGTTTGCTTCTCTTAAGAAATTATATAGTGCCCTGCTAAAATCACACTGTCACCAAAGGACCACTTGTAAATGAAGCGCAGCCTGTAAAAGAAAAGCATCAATGCTTACCTTATTGGTATAAGAATATAGCTCCTCCTGCAGCACCCTGTATTTCCTCTCAACCCTATGTCACTATAGGACCTGTGAACCAGTGGGAGGAACCACAGTGTGGGGTTGAAGGAGATTGTAGTCACACACCCACAGGTGTCAGCTACCAGCAGTGGCCACTGGAGCAGCAAATCATTTAAAGACATAGGCTGCTAGAAAGGTATGCTATTCTTTTACAGACGGTGCTTAGTTTACAAGTGACTCTGGGGTGACAAGGTCTCTTTAAAGGGGAACTGTCACAAGAGAAATACCTGCGTTGTTCTGAAGTCACTTGCAGTGCACTCGTTTCAGACCGTTGTCCTGAAAGATAAGCATGAGAGGCCCGCAAATATATGCAGTCATGCAAAGACATGAAGATCATCGTTTCATAAGGCTGAATGTGTTTTGATTCGGCTTCTTTCATCTCATGTTGATGGACACTTTTCTGCTTGGGTGTCTGAGATTTCCCTGTAGACTAACCTACTGCAGCTACTGGACCGGATGTAGAAACTCTCTTAGCGTCATTTCATTGATTGAATTATGATTATGGTTGCGCCAATACTGTGCCACGTGTAATGGTATATGAACAGATTATGTAATGTGCGGCTTTTGGATGATATTAAGAAACAGATGCTTTTATGTTTTTCATAAATCTTAAGTAATTGAGCGTTGTGGCGCCAATAAAGCCCCATTTATTTCAAGCTTTCTCATGTCTACCTATAGATGTAAACATGACTGATAATGATGCTTAAGTCCTCAGTAGGCCAAATAATTGGCCCTCCTCCAGCCAGAATTACAGTTCAGTCTCCGTCCATTTTCTCTAGTGTTTTGCTGATCTGCCATCCTGCAATTCACACATTAAATATACGGATATTAACAAGTGTTATATATTTTTTACATTAGGAATTTATTTTTGTCATACAATTTTCGTAAGCTTTAGATTTCAGGTTCAAGTAGAATGTGCTGCTGTGCAGTCAGTGAATAGCAGTTGGTCCTGGCTCACATCCAGTTATCCTTTGCCAAAAAGTCATCTGTACACAACATGGGCAGCATGTTAGTCATTTTTCCTAATTACCATTTAGGAATTTTTCTCTGTGAGACTGCAGAAATAAATGTATTTTCTTAGTATAATACCACTGTATTTGTCATATATTTCACTGGTGTCTGTGAAATATTATCGGATTTGCAGAGGATAACATCTCCACTCGTCAGCTTTGCTGTTTGTGGCAAAGGAGTACTAGGGCTTTATCATGGAAATATAAAATAACTTTTAAAGGGGATCTGTCACCTACACACAATAGCACATTAAACCTATTTCTGAACCCACTTAGTACACAACTAAACCTGTTCATTAACCAAGTCATGGCTGTACAGTTCTGTCTACACGCACCCTTTTATATATGGGGTAATTCACTCCATGCAGCCAAAGTGTCACTTGAGTGACAGCCCTGTAGTTGCTGAGAACACTCATTCAAGATGGAGGCGCCTAAAGCAATCTCAGAGGTTTAGGATGTCCACACAAGGAAGGCATTTATAGGTAATTAACATGCATACAATATGTAAAATTCACATGATCCAGACTCACATGTACCATAACTCTGCCCATCAACAGGTCACAACTGGTACTAATGTCTTTCTATGCATTGCTTCTGTTACAAAACGAACAGGGCTATTCACAAAAGGGTGAAGAGTTTGGAGAAGGCAGAAGAGGTGAACAGTCTAGACCAGAATAGCTGATTTGGAAACATTCTTCAATTCAGCTAATGTTTTCAGTTCATCTATGTTGTCTTAGATTGTTCACTTCTCCAAACTCTTCACCCTTTTGTGAATAACCCTGTAAAACTTTAATAAGAAAATGGATTAAACAAAAAATGCACATACAGTATATTTTTATGGTAAGATTGGTAAGATTGTTGTTGAAATCAATGATATAGTGACACAGTCTTGTCTTCCAAAACTATATAAATAGCATGTTGTTACCTGATTGTATAGGTATCATTTACAGGGATTGTTATAGGGACTTAATAGAGGGGATATAGTATATGTGTTGGATGTGTATTTAGTTGCCATCTAAGCTAATACAAATGTAAAAAAATCATAATTATAAGGGTGTGTACACTTTCTATGACCTTCATATATATGTAGCGCAGTGGCAGTGATGTTCTTTATCCCATAGGGTTTGTGCACTTTCTATAATCTTTTTATATATAGGGGTCTATTCACAAAGCTGCCGAAGGATCTGGCCGTAGCTTCGGCCGATCCTTCGGCTAGCTTCGGCACCAGGACCCCTTTGGTTCAGGAGAGCCGAGGGGGTGCTGTACGGCTATTCACAATAGCCCGTACAGCTCCCGATCACGGCCGAGCGGCTCAGTCGAGCGCTGAGCCGTGCTGAAAGACGAAGCTGACCGAGCGGCCGGCCATTGGCCGGCCGACAGCCTGCTTCTGACAGCTGGGC